TTATTTTGAGAGGACAGCAAATTTACACTGTTATACAGGCTGTACACTTACTACTTTACATTGTAGCAGAGAGTCATTTCTTCAGTGCTGTCACATGAAAAGATATAATAAAATATTTACAAAAATGTGAGGGGAGTACTCACTTTTGTGAGATACTGTATGCCATAAGCTAGCTAAAAGTTGAAGCATGTTATTATTACTTTTGTTTGACTAACAAAAATGCCAGTTGAGCATGACTTTTATTATTAACCATACTCACTCATCCTCTGGCATGAATAGTACCATCCTGTTTACTTATAAAACAATTTGTGCAGTTCAATCCTATGATAATGTCTGCTTTGATATGCCTGTTACTGCTATCGTGGCACTACAGGCTTATTTGTAATACCTTCTGCACATCAAAAATAAATAGTAAAAAATTAAATAAAAATACCACTATACCTTGCAAAAGCTGCATACCCTGCAAACAGACATGCAACGTGTACAAAACAACCTGGAATTGCATTGTGCGGGTTGTACAACATTATTTGTTTTGTTATTGGAAGGGTAATAGCGGCTGCATTGACAGATACGATGTAATACATAACAAGTATCATGTCACAAAACATTGAGCAAAAAACAGGTTTACTTAACTTTTGTTTTCATTTCAGCTTTAGTTATGCAGACCCTGGCTAATCAGGCTTCTTTGGACTATTCCCAGAGCATTGCTAGACTTACTTTTGTAATGTAATAGAGCTACTGAATAAGTTCCTATATTGTTCCATCACATATATTCCCACACTAGCAGCCTGATTGGTGATGGATGAACAACCCCCACCAATTCTGTTTCCTGCATCTTATAAGCTTGTGCCATTTATGTACATCCTACAGGTGTAACTGGGTTTGATTTATTTACTTTCACGTTTCCAAAACGGATAGAAGATCCTCGTTGAAAGTTTCCATTGTTTTGAAAAATACGAAGTGAGATAAGGAAGTGGGGCAGTTCCTGGGGTTAGAATGTTAGCCTAATAGATTGAGAGGTTCTAAGTAAAGCTAGAAATTCTATATAAATTATTGCATATGCTCTTAATACTTTGTTTTAAAAAATGCAAAAAGCCACTGAAGGTGTGCGGCACATGGTGGGTGCTTGCTGGGTAGAACTTTTTGTTGTTGTTGTTGTTGTTACTTAACAATTTCCACCTTCAATTTTACCTTCTTGATGCTGTTTAGATAAGCAATTTGCACAGTATTCTCAGTTATCAACCCTGTTTGTTGCTCTTTGTCCTCTTGGTCTCTGGGTAGCGGTTTCCTGGACAACCACATCATGTTATGTCTCAGATGTATGACATCACAGAGAAGATCCCATGAGATCACAGTCAATAGAAATCTTTTAGATCCCACTGGACTGTGTTTGCTATGTTTCCTTGGTGAGTGGAATGTTTATCTTTTTGTGGTTTTATTTACAGTTAGTGTTCATTTGCTAAAGCCATTGTACACTGTGAAAGGGATCCTGGAATGTTTCACAAATAAACCCTAGCATCTGTCTGTCTATCTATCTGTCTGACTATCTATCTATCTATCTTTTTAAAAAGGTTAGAATAGCCAAGTATGCACCTTTATAAGTGCCCATCTTAAAGTGACACTCCACTGCCCAAATACAAAATAAACAAAAATCACTGTTTAGTATATACCGCAAATGAAAATGCACATCTATTTAATTATGTATTTTTCAATTGGTGGTACATCTTAAAACAGCTGGCAGAATTTGCATGTTCTGTGGCTGTCCAATAACAGTCTTCCCAATGACCAGTCTTTGCAAGGCAGGTGCTCCGAGCAATTGCCTGCCTCTTGAGTTTAGCTGCCCCATGAGCTAACCAAACCAGGAAGTTACAGGACCTGTTGTCTGCTTAAAAGCCAGGGGGTGTTACCAGGTTAATTTATCAAATGTATATTGAAATCTGCAATTTTTGCAAAATGAAAAAACTAGGACACACTCAGGGGCGGACTGACCACTCGGGCATATCGGTCATGGACCGAGGGCCCGAGACAGTCAGGGGCCCGGCCGCACAGCCATGCTCCAACTGGAACAGCAAAAAAACTAAAATAAAACTTTTTAATTGATAGGTTGTGGGGCCCCTGATGCAGTGCGGGGCCCCACAACCTACCGCTCTGCAAGTCACCTCCCCTCCCTCAAATGAGACCTGGCAACTTCACCGCCTCTCTGCCAGGTCTCCTTCTCCCTGTCCCGCGGTGCTCTGTGTGATGGGAGAGGCGGGGCCAGGAAGTGACCCCACTTCCTGTTTACTCCTCTCACACAGAGCCCAGCGAGGGGAAGGAGCAGCAGCCAGGGAGAGAAGAGGAAGCAGAGAGACAGGTAGGCACTAATCACCCCCCCCCGTGTCACTAGTCACCCCCCTCACTGTCACTAGTCACCCCCCCACTGTCACTTGTCACCCCCCCTCCTCACTGTCACTAGTCACCCCCTCACTGTCACTAGTCAACCCCCCACTGTCACTAGTCACCCCCCTCCTCAC